CAACAAAAAAAAAATTTTAGCAGGCAAATTTGCCTGCATTACGGTTTAAGAGATAAGTCAGACCAATTCTAACTTAAATTGGTTAACCTTGTCTGCAAACCAGTTGTTAGCAAAATTTTATCTCTTTAAGTACGTATTCATAAATATATATAACAATAATTGAATCATTGCAGTATGAAATATAAATAGAATACTCTAACTTTAATAACTTCTCTTTAATTGATTTAATAATCTAAATACTAATAGAAAAATAAGCAATAAATTCGTTTAATTATAAATAAATCAAATATTACTTACCACCAGGGATTTCATAATCAATGGGTTGACTTACTAAAATATGTATATATAAATATACTGAAATTACAGCTTAAATCCAAATTTAAGAAAATAAATATCATTACCTGTATTTGCTATATTAACAGATTCAGAAATTTTTATAGTTAATATCATTGACTTTTAAAAAATATAATAAATAAATATTGTTATCTGGTTTAGAGAGTTTTAAAAGATTTAATAATTGACTTGTATAAATAGCTTGTAGATGAGTCTGATATTTAAACAGTGTTGGTTTGACTTGATCATGTGATAAAAAATTTTTGTCTAAATCTTTAATATCTTTAACTTGCTTATATAATTCAGTTTTCATTTCCCAGATCATAATAAAAATAATACAGTGTATCATCCAATTCTTTAGCAGTTGGTCAGTTTTGAGGTTCTACATCTAAGCATTTATTCATCAGATCCAAAAGTAATTGAGGAACTTTACACCTAATTCCAGGTCTAAGACTATAACAAATTTGAATTGCTAGTTTATCGTCATGTGGAATATTATAATATAGAGGATATCTAGTAAAAACTTCTAACATAATTATTCTGAAAAAATAAATATCTGATTTTGAGTATATTCCTTTCTATTTGTATACAATACCTCTGGAGCAATATAGAAAAGCACACCATAAAGTACATTAGAACTTGAGTTTTGTGATACTGGTCTACATAAGCCAAAATCAGTAATATAAGAATGAAACATATATTGATTAACTATATTTCCAGAATGAAAATCTCTATGCACTAATTTGGCTCTGTGAATCGTACTAAGCCCATTAGCTATGTAATATAAGTTAGCTACTTTAGAAGCTCAATTTATTTTACTATATTTATTATCTAACAATTTTCTGAGACTCTCTGCCTTGCGTACTCTATAACCATCATGTAGTTATCATCTTTTGGGTTATTCCATAAATCGCAATTGCAGAACTGCCCCTATATTTATGTTGATTTTTAATTTAAAATATTAATTAGAATAAATAAGATTACCACACCTTAATAAACTAAATCATAATGCTTACTTCTTCTAAAAATTCTTATTTTATATCTTTAGAATTATCAAGTTCCTTTAAACAAATATCTATTTGCCTCTTTCTCTCACATTTATTTTCCAAATAACTTGATCTTATAATGGCCATGAAACAGCCAGTGTGCTATTCCGTCGTTATTCAATCATTGATCAAGAGTTCAATTTATGGTTATATCATATTCGATAATAAATAGAATTTATTTTACTTACTTGCTATATCATACAAGTGATTTAAATAAGTTATATTGGATTTACTGTAAAAAATTCTTTTTACTGTTATTTTTGTATTGGAATGAATGTGATTTCTATAGTGATTTACTGTAAAAATTCTGTTTTACTGTACTTACTGACTATTTTAGTAATACAAATAATTTAGATATGGTCATGTTAGTTTTGTATTAGAATTAACATGATTTCTATAGTAATTTACTGTAAAAAATTCTTACCGACTATTGTGGTGATACAAGTGATTTAGATATAGTTTAGTTAGTTTTGTATTGTAATGAATGTGATTTCTATAGTGATTTACTGTAAAAATTCTTACAGACTATTGTGGTGATACAAGTAATTTAGATTTGGTTAGTTTTGTATTAGAATGAACATAATTTCTATAGTGATTTACTGGTTTTACTGTACTTACTCACTACAGTTATACAAGTGATTTATAAAGATGCAGACATTTAAAAATATGAAAGGTAACTACCTTACTAAAAATATAATGGCAATACGATACATTTGCCGTATAAATAAATGTGCCGTAAGTTGTACAAGTGCCGTAAGTCGTATAAGTGTCGTATGTAGTATAAGTGCCATATGTAGTGTAAATGCTGTATGTCATATAAGTGCCGTATGTCGTGTAAGTTCCGTATGTAGAGTAAAATGCCATGTGTCGTATAATGCCATATGTCATATGCTAAATAAGTACGTACGTATCATTGAACTGCAAAAAGAATATTAGATACCATGGTTCTGGATTAGCTCTTTAAAATTTGTTAAGTAACCCAAGCCCGATACCCTTTTAAAAAACAAATGCCTAATTAAAAGCAATATTCGATTTTTATTATATGAACTGGTTTGAACCAGATCTGAACTAGTTTTAAAAGCCTGGTCCAAACCTGGTCTAAGCTTGGATATCCCTGCATATGAGTGAAAAATTACTAATTTCCCTCCAATTTTAAGTCAGCGATAGGACTGTAACACCAAAATTTTGACGAAATTTTTTTTAGAATGCAGAAAGTGGTTCTTAAACAAACTTTGAAATTAATGAGACTTTTTAAAGAAAAACAGGCGATATTATATCCTATTTCGCTCTGATTAGCCAGAATTAAAACTTGAAAGAATTGAATACAATATCGAAATGTTGTCAACATACTATAAATATTATCCAAGTAACACATGCGATTATTAAAGTAATTAATATTGACTGTATATGCTTTAAATATACAGTATCATAATTCTTTTAGAATTAAGTTCATGTAAAAATATACAGTATCATAATTTTTTTAGAATTAAGTTCATGTAAAATGAAACTTAAATTATTATTTACAGGTTTTACTTGGCAATTCTTATATATCGTACGTACTAACATAGTATTCCTTAAACATCTTGCATGGGATAGCCAACAGTTTAAAAGATTTACGTATATATATAAATTTGTCTATACATACATTTGTCTTTTTTAATAATGGTACCAAATTTTTAGCTATGGAGTCAAGTGAAGAAAATCTACAAAAAAGAAATGCAGATTTGGCAGAAATAGAGAATGGTTCAGGATCAGAAGAAGAATGTGCAACAAATAGTTCTAATCGAAATTCTTCAGCTAAGAAAAAATCTAGACCGTTTGCTGAGATATGGGATTATTATATTAAGGGAGTAGGAAAAAGTAACGGCCACTATGAAGCTATTTGTTATTATTGCGTCCCTAAAAAATCTTGGGCAAGAGGAAAACCAGCAGTATTAGAAGCGCATTTGGCAAATGAATGCCCTAATTGTCCCGAAACTATTTCACGATATTGGTGAGAAAAAGTAGCAACAAGAAATTCTAACTATACATGAAAAAGAATATCCTTACAAAATCAACCGGCAATAACATCTCATTTTTTATCTGATCGTCCATTACCAAAAGCTGCAATTAATCGTTTTGATCAAAAAATAACTAAAGCTTGGGTAATAGCAGGAATTCCTTTTAAAATTATCGAAAATCCGTTTATTAAAGATATGTTTAAAGAGTTTTTACCGGCATACAATCCACCGTCAAGAACAACTTTATCAGGCCGATTACTAGATGAGGAAATAGCACGAATAAATTGTGCAATTGATAATGATATTGATAAAGCGATCATTTAACCTTAGGTTAGTATATATAAAAAATAACATATATAAATACTTTGAGTTTTAATTTTATAATTCAATTTATAGTTCAATATACCGTATAGTGCTGCTCCCTTTGAATAGTATCCCCTTTTTTGACAAGCGATTTGTAACCCAATTTTCATAATTAATGTGTGATCTTTTCAATAGATTTGATATATCTAATAGCAAAGTATATATTGATCAGTAATGATCATTTGGATTATTCTCCCATCTTCAAATACTTGGAGTATTATTCAATCTAGGCCAGCTTTTTTGTAAAAACTCGGGTACTATATGCAGCGCTGTATGGTAGTAAAAATACTATTAAAAATTCTACTTACTTTCGAAAATGCATCATTTATTGTTCATAATTTAATTTCTTTAAATATAAGATAAAAAATTAATATATATTTTATATAGTTTTTGTATAAAGTGTATATCTTTAAATTAACATGCTAAAATAAATAATATATATGATCAAATATGCAGATGCTTATCAATATGTAATTTATCCGTATTTAATTTATTATTTATTTATTTATTAATTATATATTATATGTATATTTAATAAAGCTTTATACGGTTGGACGTCACAAACAATGGAATCAATTTATAATTATATTATCACCACAGACACACAAAAGAGTATTTAGTTGGCCTAAAAAATTATTCTTTGTATTCTCAAACGGGCAAATTTTTAGCAGATAAAATATCAACTATTATCGAAAGAATTGACTCAGATAAATTTGCAGCTGTTGTTAAGGATGCAGTCTCAAATTGTAACTTAGCACGTCGAAGAATATAAGAAATGTATCTGCATATTTGGAATGTCTGGTGTGCAGCTCACGCGATCAACCTTATTGCTGCTGATTTGATTAAATTAGATGAATTAAAAAAATTAATCACTAATTGTGGAAAAATTAATCATTTTTTTAACTCTTCTCATTCGAGTTATTCATTACTTATTAAAGGATTTGCTGATATGAAAATTAAAGGTGGCAGGCTAAAAACATGGATAAAAACTCATTAGAGATCTTTATATTTTACTACAGATTCAATGATTCGTGCGCGATCCGTATTTGATTAGGTATATATAAATTATTTTATATATATTTTTATTATAATTTTTATATATTAATAGAATAAATTTATTTTTAGTTACTTTCTGAGCATTATGAGGCAATTACAAATCACGAAATAGCTAATTTAATAGCTAATGAAGATTTTTTTATTACGTGTCGATTAGTGTGCTCTATTTGGCAACCTATTAAAGAAGCAATCTATGTATTAGAAACTAATCAAGCAACATTAGCTGATTGTTTTGCATATTTAATCAAGTTAGCCGTGGCTATTAAACACTTGCCTGAAACAAATATCTTCAAGACCTCCGCAATTCATATTTTTAATTGACGATACGAAGAATTTTTACATCCACTTTATATTTTGGAATATTACATTCATCCACAATACAGAAGTATGTATAATTAAAAAAATTACCAACTTTTGTAGATCATTAGATTTATATGTATATTTATACTATACAATAACATAATATATATGTACAATAAAAAAGGCAATAAAAATTTCTACAGTATATAAAACACAGGTATTTTTCGTTACAGTGCTTGCTATTTTGATGTAGTTAAGATCGATTAGTTTTATTTAATTAATTGATTTGCAAATCTGTGTATATATAAATTCATAAAACAAAATCTACTTAATATTAATATTAGGGTTAGAGCTAGAAGTTAGGGTTAGAGAGTATTTTATACTTGTTAGAACTTCCAAAGCAGTTTGTAAGCAAAATTTTAAGTTATGATTATACTCGTATTTTATACACTAGTATACAAATAGAAAACGTCTTTTATATTTTAGTTAATACTTTAATTTTTTATTCATATAATTTAAAAATATAAATTTTTAGGAAAGTGTTGAAAAGATGATAGATTTTACCAAGAAGCTCTTACATATATTAAGATCTGGCAAAATCTTGGGCATATCAAGTTAGAAAGTGATGAATTAATTGCACAAATATGACAATATAAGGCACGATTGCTACTATTTAATCTTTCTTATATTTCAGGTTTAGATACTCCAAAAATTTGGTAGGAGTCTTTTAAAAGTTAACCTCAACATTTAGCTGAGCTTGCTTGTAAAATTTTTTAATTAATCCTATGCAAGCAAGTTGCGAAAGGAACTTCTCAGCATTAAAGTGGATTTTAGAGGATCATCAAACTAATTTGAGTATAAATAGGCTAGAGAGAATATCCAAAATTAGATCATATTATATAACAAATATTCGGTGTAAGCTAAACTTTCCTGATAAAGAATTAACAGAGGCTGATTTTCAAGATGTATGTAATCTATCTTCAGTTGGCAATATTATGAGTTATGAAGATCAAGTTAATGATGATGAGATTTTGTCAACACCTAATGATCCTACAACCTTGTTAATTAATAATATCATTGACTTGGAAATTGAAGAAAATTCGGAATCTTCCATAGCAGAATCGTCCTGAGTTGTCTTACCTGAGGATTTGAATTATGATTCTTGTGATGTGTTAAATAGGTTTTTAGAATGTGAAAAGCAGAATAATGGTATGTCTAATTTAATATAAATAAATACTAGAGGTTATTATTATACAATTAATATCTAGCTTTCTCAATTTCAAAGGTTAATAATTTACAAGCAAATTTTGTCAATAATACCAGTGAAGCAAATTTCTTAAGGTATTGAAATGTTTAATTTTTAGAATATTATTTCATACATATTAATTTATAAATCGTATAATTAGATTTCTTTAATGCATATAAGCAAGACATTAGACTTTAAAATAGTAACAGTCATATTAAAGAATTATACAAAAATGAACAAGTGATAATAAAAAATATTGGCAGTTGTATTAAAGAACTTCAGCTTAAAACTGAAAATACATCTAATACTAGTCAAAATTAATTGGTTACTTTTTTTTAATATAATACTTCCTGTATCAGATTTAAGGCATTTAATAAGAGTAACAATCTTTATATTCGAATTTAGAAACTGTTCCAAAACCCAGTACTAACTCTTCTACTATATGCAAGCTTATTATCAAGATAATTAATATGCCCTTCGGATATAGATATGCTACTAATTGAGATTCAC